AAGCATGCCGGCAAGTATGGCGGGCAGCCAATGAAGAGTATGGTCTCGCCATCCTACGGCACCGGGGATGCTCCACTGCGGCCGGCAGAGCCCTTTGAGAAGTTCAGCCCCCCCCTCGCCAACGGGGAGCGGGCAGCCGAGCCGGGACCCCCCTTCCCGCTGCGGCTGCCTCCCAAAGCACCAGTCTGTGGCAGCCCGCCGGTGGAGGAGCAACCCAAGAATGTTGACCCCCTGGTCTTGGAGCTGGTGAACACCAAGATCGTGGAGCGGGGGCCGCCCGTGCAGTGGACGGACATCGCTGGGCAGGTCTCTGTGAAGGCCACCATCGAGGAGGAGCTGGTGTGGCCCATCCTGCGTCCCGGTGCCTACACCGGGGTGAGCCGGCCGCCCCGCACCATCCTGCTGTTCGGTCCCCGTGGCACGGGGAAGACCCTGCTGAGCCGGTGCATCTCCACCCAGCTGGGCTCCACCTTGCTGAAGCTCAGTGGGACAACCCTGCTCTCCACCTGGAAAGCCGAAGCTGAGAAGATCCTGCAGACCGTCTTCTTCGTGGCCAGCTGCCGGCAGCCCGCGGTGGTGCTCATCACCGAGGCCGAGTCCTTGCTGGTGGCCCGGGCTGGCGAGGATGGCAGCCAGGTGAGCAACCTCAAGTCCCAGCTCCTCTCCTACCTGGACAACGTGGCTACCTCATCCGAGCAGAACGTGGTCATCATCGGGACCACCTCCCGGCCTGGCAGCATGGACGAAGCTTCCCACCGGCGCTTCGCCAAGCGGTTCTATATCTCCCCGCCGGACAGCATCGCCCGGCGGCAGATCCTCCATCACGCCCTGGCTCAGCAGAGCTCCTGCCTGAGCGAGCGGGAGATGGCCTCCCTGGTGCAGCACACGGAGAGCTTCTCGGGCAGTGAGCTGGTCCAGCTCTGCCAGCACGCCGGGGCCACCACGCTGCACGGTTTGCCGGGCCAGATCCAGCCCACCTCCTACCAGGACTTTGAGAAGGCGTTCTGCAAGGTCCGCCCCGCCGCCTCCCAGAAGGAGCTGGACTTGTTCCTGGAGTGGGATAAAATGTACGGCACCAGGCACTGACGGCGCGGCATCGGGGGGACGGGGGCGCGGGGACGGACCCTTCGCCCCAGCCCGAGACTCCGGGGGCGGTTTGGGGATTTGGCCGACGAACGCAGGGTTTGGAGGGGCTGGGCTGGGGTCTGCGGGGGCTCCGGTTCTCCCCCAGAGCCGCGCCGGGGCCAGACCCCTTCCTCCCAAAGTGCAGGAGACCCCCGGAGAGCCCCAACGGCAGCACGACATACCTCTTCTTTACTATTTTGGACTCGGCCGGGCTTTTCCTCTCCTTGGTTTTTCGGAAGCCGTCGCCCACTGAACTCAGGATAACCTATTTATTATTTTCCCGTCCATCCGGCC